TCAGCAATTCCCAAATTCCGACAAATTCCATATCTCGGCCAACATTTGATAGTTCTAATGATCATACTCAACCTTCAAAAAAACCTACTGACTCCTCATCCCTACATTCCTCTATACCCAAAGCCAAACCTAAAATTGTTCATCCTATCTTGACTTCCCAGTCTTTCTTGCCCCCCACTATATCGCCTACTTACATCTCCAACAGCACAACTTCTTCCGACTTATCACATAATCCACCAGCAATAATTGGAATAATAATTTCTTCAATAATAGCAATAATCGTTCTTGTTTTAATAATAAAGAAAACTACTTTTGGCAAAATCTCTATTGAAAAAAGACAATTTAGTATGCAAAATGATGACATGAATAATAATAATAATAATAATACTATAGGTCTTGGTCTCGGTGCTAATAACGATCCTTCATTCGATTTAAATGATTTTCAACAAAATCAAGAACTAACTTCTAAATTTTTTAAAAAATTTGAACTTTTTGATACATTTAAATGGTGGATCGCAAATATTTTTAATCGGGGTAATCGTAAGTTCAGATTAAATAGTTTAATTATTTCGAACAATATAGTTATTATAAACAATCATGATATGAAAAATAGTAATTTTGTTAATATTGAAGATGAAACATTTGATTATGGGGTTGGGGTTTCAAGTATTAGTGAAACTGAAATATCTTTCCCTGATATACTTCCTCATGCTTTGAATTGGGAAGAATATATATTGTAATATATAGAGTTTTTTTATTTGTAAAATTTATTTCTTAAAAATAATTGGCATTTGAAATTGTATATTCTCAAAAATTAGTAGAATGCTAAGTATTGTATATTTATATTTGCATAAAATTTTCATTTTTTTTTTTTTTTTTTTTTTTACTTATTTTTTTTTTTTTTTTTTTTTTTTTTTTAAGTGATTTTTTCCTTTTTTTTTTTAGAAAAAATTTTAAAAAAGATTTTTATTTAAAATTTTTTTTTTTTTTTAACTGCTTTTTTTTTTTTTTTTTTTATTATAATTTTCACGTAACAAAATATTTGTATAAAAAAATCTTGCTTCCAATTGAAAATTTTTTGTATTAATAGTAATTTATATATTGTAATAAATTACTTATTAAATGTAAATTTTATTTGTTTGTTAAAAACAAATAAATTTTTATTAAATTGTAATTTAATATAAATTACTATTAAACAAATAAATAAATAACGCTGATAATACTGTAAATAAATTAATGATTAAAAAAAATTTCTATAGTTTTGTACACTAATAGGATTGTTAATAAGTTGGGTTAAAATTAGTCTAAACTTATCTAGCTTGAGTATTAATAATACTTCAGATAATTTTTAGAGTATCACATATATATATTATAATTCTAAGTTGAGGTTAGATTTAAATTAAGCTAAATATTATATAGGTATGATGAGCTAGTTTGAGGTAGTTTATAAGCAGTTTTAAAAATGCGGTCATAATGCTATAACCTGTTGTAACTATAATAAGTTATAGCAAAAAAATGTTGCAACTCATTATAGTTATAGCATTATGACTATATTTCTAGGTAGTTTTGAGAATCCAATGGTAAATTAGCGGGCTGGGTATTAGGGATATCAACAATGTGAGTTGGTTGAGAATCCAATGGTAAATCAACGGGTCGAGAATCCAATGGTAACTTAACGGGTCGGGTATTAGGGGTATCAACAGTGTGAGTTGGTTGCGAATCAAATGGTGGTCGAGAATCCAATGGTAAACTAACGGGTTGGGTGTTAGGGGTATCAGCAGTGGGAGTTGGTTGTGAATCCAATGGTGGTCGAGAAACCAATGGTAAACTAACGGATCGGGTATTAGGGATATCAACAGCGTAAGTTGGTTGTGAATCAAATGGTGGTCGAGAATCCAATGGTAAATTAGCGCGAGGTTGAACATAAGAAATATAAGTAGAAGGTACTGTTGGAGATGTCTTGTTGGCGGTAGGATGTAGAGGTATCGATTTCGTAGGTACATATACATATTGCAGTTGAGAAGTTGGAGATGGAGGATTCGTATATAAAGAACTCAAAATAGGTTGTTTTTGTAATAAATTTGGGGGAGTAATATATGCCATGAATTTTGTTCAAAAAATCTTTCTTACCTGAAGAAAGAGTTAACGTATAATATTAAAGATAGATCTTTAATTATATTAGATGATATCTTTTATAATTACCTACACGGAAAAGAAGTATAAATCGTAGATAAGTAAGAGAATAATGAATGGACATAAAAATTGATTATTCCTCGAAGTGATGAGAGGGGTAAAAAAAAAAAAAAATTAGTAGTTTTTAGCATTTATGTATTTAATTCACGGATCGTGAGTTTTACAAATCGACTAAGTAGATTTTAAAATGAATGCTATCGCTAATACTAATTTATTATAATCAAAATTATGAATAACTTTTATTCTAGGAATAATTTTCGTGATCCACAAATCGGAATGGAGTTGTTTTTAGACATGAAATTTACTAGACTTAAGCAGTAAGAAGATTATGCACCTGCAAATTATAGTTGTACGAAATAACGATTCACGATTTTTTTAGGAAATTTACACGTGATTCAAAATTAAATCCTGACACACTTATATTACAGATTGCTATTTTTGGGAAGGCAGGTCTTCAAAGTGTGTACTGATTTGGTTCTAATTGTTGCGAGAAAAATCTTTTTATATGGACTTGGAGAAGATCTAAATGTACTGTACGTTAACAATGCAAAAGACAATTGAAAGAAAGAAATAAGTGAGGTATGACGAATTGAAGTAATTGAGTAACAAATTAGATTCAAATTATCTGCGAGTAATCAAATATTTAGGATTTACCGTACAAATATACAGTATGAGAAAAATGATGTAATTCAAAATATTAATAATGAGCTAGTATAAATAAAAATATTTTAACATTGATTTTTAATGATATCAGATATTCTTTTGTAACCATTTATATATTTCTTTTAGTATTGAGACAAGACAAAACATTCACTTATAAAAAGTTAAAGACTAATTATAACTACACATTTACGTGATTTACAAACCCAACCAATCATGTTTGATGCGCAGTCCTAATCATCAGTTTCTTTCCTTTAACGTGTTGTCGCTGTTTATTTTGAATGTACACGAGACATACGTTTATCCTTTATAACAACGAGTAAGTATGCTAATTATGCGGGTAAAAAATTATCCTTACTATGCTAATATCTCAAAGGCCGCCAATTATGCATGCAATACCTGATACTCAAATATTAATAATTAAATCTAAACATGCGAAAATACATCAATCAACGAGCAGATATGTACAGAGTACAAGCAAGGAACACATTAATAAATTTATACGGGTACGGGGGAAATTACGTTGAATGAAAGCCACAAAGAAATTTTCTAGTCTTTATTAAAGTTAATCACGGTTTATATATTCGAATTATCTGTAGTTACTCGTTATCGTGTTTGAATAATTTCTCATTTTATGATTCGGTATGTCGTTAATATTACGATTACCTATGAATAAATATTTTCATTTTATGTAACAATGTACATTGATTTATAATTGTATCCTTTGCATAAACAAATAGACCTTCAATGTTCCTTAAAAATTGTTAAAAAATTACACTAAAAAGGTAATAACAAATAATGTTGTAAAACAAATAAGCAAATCGTATCTATTAAGATTACAGAATTAGTGCTCCGAACCTGTGTTGAAATCCGAAATAATTTTAATAAAGTATTCTCATGAGCATTGTTTTTAAAAATTATAAGTAATGTTCTCAAATTTTATAAATGTTTTCATAAAAAGTATTATATCAAATCAAATTAATGTTCTCACACATACTATTACCGGTAAATATACTAGAACACTGTTTTAAAAAAGATATTCTCAATTCAGAGGTAATGTTCTCATGAAAACATGAAAAAATTGTATTTCCAAAACTGCTCCGAACGTGTCGAGTCGGGCTCGGGCCGAACTGAATTTTCGGACTAAAACTTTATCCCGACCCGAACTGAATTTTCGGGTTAAAAATTTCTGACTAAAGCTTTACTGGATCCGAACAGCTGATCCGAACCGAATTTTCGCGTTAAAATACGAACATAACCTGAATCATTTACGGATAAAATTTAAATTTCGGCTATACTGTATTAGTTATGGTCAAGCAAAAGCATTGTTTTGGTACTTTTCAATCAATTTAATAAAGTGTCATAAATTTCACTTTTTACCTACCGTTAATATAATAGTTTATTAAGATGTATTTTATAAGGTAATCCAATTTTTAAACTCGTGTTCTGAAAATAAATTGACCTTAATTAAATTGTTAGAAAAATTCTGCTGCACAGACAATCAAATTCAAAAAAAATCGAATAAAACGTAAGATTTAATGCAATTGAACCTTGAGCGAGAAGTGACATTTCCGAAAACGTGAAAGAACTACAGGATCATATCCCGAGAAAGGTAAAGATTATGACGTAGATAATTAGGCTTGGTAAGCTTAATTTTAAGGATAGTGACGGGCACGCGGGAGATGGCGATCGATTGGAAAGCCTTGCCAAATCCTCTATAGAAAACGTGTTTTGTCTATTATCGCGAATAAATTTTCATATGATGAAATTAAGAGAAATTTGAATGTTAGTATCAGTTTTTACTCATAATTCAAGTATTTACAAATTTTATTCTTTGTTAGATTACCTCGTCAACTACTATCTATGAAGCACGCTGATATTCAAGGCTTCACAGTCCAGGTGCTGAATATAGATGAAAGAAATATTTAAGAAAGCTTTATTAAAAAAATAATTAAAAAAGAAGAAGGTTACAAGAGAAGAACAAAAAGAAAAAGAAAAGAAAGATTATAAAAGAACTAAAGAAAAAAATATAGAAAAAAGAAAAATAGAATAGGCTTTAGAAAAACTTAAAGAAAAATTAAGACTAAGAGTATATAAAGAAGATTATGAAAACCAAAAAGTAACAAAAAAAGAAAAAAGAGAAAATGAATTCAAGAGAAGAGTAAAAAAAGAGAAATAAAATTAGATCTTAGTAAAAGAAGAATAGAAATTCATAACTCTTAGAAGAATTAGAAGAAGAAAAAGAAAAATCGAGTAGAAAGATATAAGTCTAGAGGAGAATTTCAACTAATTATACTAGAAAGTAACTAATAAGAAATATAAAGAAACTTAAAAAAAGATATTGTTATAAAATGAGTTTCAATTATTTTATTTTATTATTTTATTTATTTATTATTAGTATTTTTATAAATAGTTAGTTTCTTGAATGTACTTTATTTTATTATACCGCTTTTACAAATAACTTAGTAGTCGCAGATAGATTTAGACTTTACCATTAGATCCAGCTCGAAGAGATCTTTCAAA